TTCGAGACACTGTGTTTCTAGTGGTTTGTTCTGCCCAGTTGCACTCTGGAGTGTAGACGGGCTGGCAGTGTTGGGGGTGGTGAGGGGCGAGGCTCATTAGGCAGGGTGTGGACCCCCAAAGGCAGCAAGGACAGCCCTATCAGGTCAAATACCCTCCCAGTCAGCGGGGGCCTGGTCAGCCCTTGGCACAAAGGGACCCTGGCTATGGTTAAGTGGCCCCAGCTGGGCCTGTTCCTCTGGGGCTTCAAAATGGGGATGGGGTGACTGGTCTCCTTCCCCGGGAGCTGGTTGTCTGCTGTTGGCCATGCAGGAGGGGAGCAGAGCAGGTGGTGGGAGGCAGGAGGAGGGCCGGGGGAGCGGGAAGCTGGAGGCAGCTGTGGCTGGCGCTGGCAGCCTGAGGCCGGGGACCGTCACGCCCTTGGTCTCCAGAGAACCCCCTTGGGTATGTCTGGCTTCTGGTCCTTGAAACAGGTAGTTGTACCTGATAGGAAAACCCGGGAGAGTACACCTGGGGCAGGTGTTGTGTGCTTTGATTTGCATTTTTAGGACTGGGCGAGGTGGCTCACACCTGTAGTCCCACCACTTTGGAAGGCTGAGGCAGATGGATTTCTTGAGCGCAGGAGTTTGGAACCAGCCTGGGCAACATAGACTGTCTCCACGAACTTGCCCTAACCCTCCCCGCTGCAACCCCAGAACCCTGCAGATCCCACCTCTCCCCACCCCCAGAAAAAACTGTCTCCGCAAAAAAAACAAAAAAATTAGGCAGTGGCTCATGCCTGTAATCTCAGCACTTTGGGAGGCTGAGGCAGGTGGATCACCTGAGGTCAGGAGTTTGAGACCAGCCTGGCCAACATGGTGAAACCCTGTCTCTAAAAACAAAAAAAAGCAAAATTAGCCAGGCATGGTAGCGCATGCCTGTAATCTCATATACTTGGGAGGCTAAGGCAGGAGAACTGCTTGAACCTGGGAGGCAGAGTTTACAGTGAGCCGAGATTCTGCCACTGCACTCCAGGTTGGGTTACAGAGGGAAACTCCATCTCAAAAAAAAAAAAACTAAAAAATTAGACTGGTGTGGTGGTGCACACCTGTGGACCCAGCTCCTTGGGAGGCTGAGGTGGGAGGATCGATTGAGCCTAGGAGTTTGAGGCTGCAGTGAGCCAAGGTTGCATCACTGTACTACGGCCTGGCCGACAGATGAGAGTGTTTCAGAAAGGAGGCAAGGGGAAGCACACGTGGGCAGGTGTGTGGGCTGGGATGTGCGCTTAGGAAGCATCCTGTTCTCACTGAGCTGCGGTGGGGCTGGGTTTTGCAGAGGGACAAAGGAGCAGAGACGGGATTGGAGACCACCCACCAGTGGCTGGCCCGCTTGGGTCACACGCTGTGGGATGGGAATGTTTGAGTACAGGGACCCATGAAGGGGTTTCCTGTGCTGTCCCAGTTCCTTCCCTGGATCCTGCAGATGCTCCCAGCATTACACTCCAAAGCAGGCATCCCCAAACTTTTTACACGGGGGGCCAGTTCACTGTCCCTCAGACCGTTGGAGGGCCGCCACATACTGTGCTGCTCTCACTGACCACCAATGAAAGAGGTGCCCCTTCCTGAAGTGTGGCGTTGGGGGGGGGTGGATAAATGGCCTCAGGGGGCCGCATGCAGCCCGTGGGCCGTAGTTGCGGGACGCCTGCTCTAGAGGAAGAAGCCCCATCAGCCCCTTAGCACTTGGGGTAAGGAAATAGGCAGAGGGGCGGGGCGCAGTGGCTGGCACCTATCATCCCAGCACTTTGGGAAGTCGAGGCAGGTGAATTGCTTGAGCTCAGGAGTTCGAGACCAGCCTAGCCAATGTTTTGAAACCCCATCTCTACTAAAAATACAAAAATTAGCTGGGTGTGGCAGTGCACACCTGTAATCGCAGTTATTCAGGAGACTAAGGCTAGAGAATTGCTTGAATCCAGGAGGCAGAGGTTACAGTGAGCTGAGATTGTATCACTGGACTCTATCCTGGGCAGCAGAGTGAGTCTGTCTCTAAAAAAAAAAAAAAAAAAAAAAAAAAAAAAAAAAACAGGCAGAGGGAGGGACAGCTTTTTAGGGTGATAAAAACGTTGTGAAACAAGATAGTTGTGATGGTTGCACAACCCTGTGGCTTTACACATATCAAAAGCCATCGATATGAACACTTTGAAGAGATGAATTGTATGGTATGTAAATTATATTGCAACAAAGCTTTTTTTTTTTCTTTTTTTGAGATAGAGTCTTACTCTGTCACCAGGCTGGAATGCAGTAGCACAATCTGCTCATTGCAACCTCTACCTCCTGGGTTCAAGGGATTCTCCTGCCTCAGTCTCCTGAGTAGCTGGAATTACAGGCATGTGCCACCACGCCTGGCTAATTTTTGTATTTTTAGTAGAGACAGGGTTTCACCATGTTGGTCAGGCTGGTCTTGAACTCCTGTCCTCAGGTGATCTGCCCGCCTCAGCCTCCCAAAGTGCCAGGATTACAGGCGTGAGCCACCACACCTGGCCACAAAGCTATTCTTAAAAGGCAAAGCAGGCCAGGTGCGGGGGCTCACGCCTGTAATCCTGGCACTTTGCAAGACAGAGGCACTTTGCAAGACAGGCAAATTCTGTCTCTACTAATAATACAAACATTAGCCAGGTGTGATGGCCCACGCCTATAATTGCAGCTACTGAGGAAGCTGAGGCAGGAGAATTGCTTGAACCCGGAAGGTGGAGGTTGCACTGAGCCGAGATCACACCATTGCACTCTAGCCTGGGCAACAGAGTGAGACTCTCTTAAAAAAAAAAAAAAAGACAAAGCAGGCAGGGGGCAGGCCCCGATGACTGATGGGATGCAGGACAGGCGTCGCAGGGATACAGGGCGTCGAGGATGACTGGCTGTCTCACTCACTGTTGGTCTCCTCCCTCAGATGAGAGGATGGGGGACAATCCCCTCTGCCACCTGCACTGCTGGTGCTCATGGGAGATGCTGGGCAGGGCCCAGGAGGCAGCTGGACACAGTGCCCAGGTCTCAATTGCAGAAATGAGGGCAGACTGACAAACTGTGAACCCCAAAGTGGCCGAGTAGAAGAGTGCTGAGGTCCCCAAATCACCAACCCCCACTCCGAGGGTGGGCTGGGCCAAGGTGCGCGCCACGGAGGCTGGGAGGGGAAGCCAGATGAGCCGGCACCGGGAGGGTCCTGGGGAGAGTGGTCAGTGCCCTTGGCCAGCTCAGAGACACATCTGCTGGCCTTAGCGACAGGGGTCCTGTGCCACCCTCTCTTGGCAGAGGTGGGACAGCAGGCTAGGCTGGGACCACTGGGGGATGGGGCCTGCCTTATAGCTGTGGGTCAGGGCCTGGGGGGCCAGGGACTCCCAGAGCCAGCCACTGTCCTCACCTGTTTTCAAAAGTAGAGTTGCTTGTTGATACCTTTCTGATGGCTTGCAAATTTATTTTAAATTTCATGAGACATCTGGCCGGGCGTGGTGGCTCACGCCTGTAATCCTAGCACTTTGGGAGGGGGAGGCGGGTACATCATGAGGTCAGGAAATCGAGACCATCCTTGCCAACATAGTGAAACCGTCTCTATTAAAAATCCGAAAATTAGCCGAGTGTGGTGGCACATGCCTGTAATCCCAGCTACTCAGGAGGCTGAGGCAGGAGAATCACTTGAACTCGGGAGGTGGAGGTTGCAGTGATCTGAGATTGTGCCACTGCACTCTAGCCTGGTAATAGAGTGAGACTCCATCTAAAAAAAAACTTTCATGAGACATCACTCACACTGTCTTGTCAAAGGGTACAGACATACCACGTGGTGCAGATGTCATAAAACGGGGTTTGTAGGGGTAGCAGCAGCTGAGCCAGGCCCCGCTGAGCCGAAGCTGGGCTGCACACTCCACAGCTGGCACTCACCCACACACCTCAGCTGACAGTAACCAGGCAGTGGACATCTGGTGGCCCTGGATCTTTCCAAGGGGAAGGCTCTGAAGCTTACTCAGTGGCTCATGTCAGGCCCTTGTCATGGCTGAGTGGCCACCAGGGTAGGGATGGGTTGCCGTGAAGCCACCCAAGGCAACAGCAGCATCCAAATTCAAGTCCACTGGGGAGTCTCAGCCCAGTGACATGGGCTGCCATCTGTCCTCGAAGGTCAAAGCAGGCGAGAGCCAGAGGAAGAGTGGGCCAGCCTCAGTCAATGACACAGTGTCCAAAAAGGGAAGAGAAGCCGATGTCTTTCCTCTCACTCACCTCACACCTGCTTAGAGGTGCCCAGAGCCCCAGCCAAGGTGACAGGGCATATCTCCTGTGACTCGCGGCAGGAAGGTGCTGGCCATGGAGGCCCCATCACAGAGGCAAGGAGCCCCCAGGTGCAGAGGGTGTGGTGACTCAGGCTGCCGTGACCTGGGCATGTGTGGAGCTTCCCGCTCTGCGGGGAGCCTGACTGGAGGTCCAGCTGGTGGTGGCACACACTGGACCATCTTTCGGCAGCTATTTCTCGGGCGTGGCTGCCTCCTGTGGGTGTGCACATTTGTAATGTGCAGTGGGAGTCAGGATTGGGGAGCTGGGTCTGCGGCCCTGGCTGGGAGTCCAGCTGGGTGAGTTCAGTCAGCCTCGGGGAAGGATGCTCCAGGGCCAAGGGCACCACTCCAAATGGAGCCACGGTGCCGTGTCCCAGCAAAGGATGGACAGGTGGGCAAGTCCGCCCGGGCTTACGCAAATAAGTCCAGGGGGAACTCAGGCTAATGGCCAGAGCAGAGCATCTACCTCTTTCAGCAACATGACCTGCCACATCAGGGCCTGGGACAGGCCATGGGCTGCAGCAGCCTCTCCGAGGTCCCGACTCCAGGCCCCCCATCCACTCTTGGTCCAGGGTACATGTGGGCCAGATGACTGCAACTGCCCAGGCGTCGGGGGGTCTCCCAGGCATTGGCATGGAGACATGATGGGGTGTGGCTTCACAGTGGCCGACTGTGCCTGCAAGGGGGACGTGAACACGCAGCAGCTACACGCAGTGAGATGCAAAACAGGATTTATTGGGGGAACCACACAAGCAGAGAAGCATGGGCGACTGGGCTGTCCCAGCCTTGCAGTGGACGGCGGCGATGCGCCTGATGCCGGCACTCCCCCACAAGTACAGGGTGGGACGGAGGGACTCTCGTGGCTGAGGACAGGTCCTTGTTGGTAAGCAGGAAGCTCTGCAGTCCTGGTGGGGTCATCTTGCCCCTCTGGACTGTTCCCTCTGACTGGTGAAGATGCACTGTGTGAAGCTGCCCCACAGATGGGGGCGTGCCTCTGCTGTCACCTAAGCTTCAGACTTCAGTTGTACATGGGCCACCCAGGACCCCGCTGGCCTCAGCCAGGGCGTGTGTACCCGGCACGGGCCCCTGCCGACCTCTGGGCTGGCTCCAGTCTCGGGACGACACCTGCCGTCATGTTGTGGAGAGGTTTAAGTTGGGAGGCGCACAGACAGCAAAGCCTGGAGCGCGGAGCAAGGCATGTGCTTTGGCCAGCTCTGGTTGCCAGGGACAGCCGCACCCTGGCAGCAGGCAGCCAGACACCAGGAAAACCTACCCAGCACCTGTCCAGAAAAGACCGGTGTGGCCTGACCCAGCCTACGCGGCACAGCTCCGTTTGAAGCAGGCACTTCCACACGTGTGCGCAGGCTCTGAGACAGCGACATTCACTTTGCACCGTGCCGAGCAGACCAGGGCCTCGCCAGGCGGAAAGCCCGGGGAAGGTGGCATGCTCTGCAAAGCCAGGGGCGCTGGTAGCCAGACAGCAGGAGTGTCCACGTCCAGGCAGCTTCCTCATGTCTGCCGAAGCTCAGGAAAGCGCCACCACACTGCCCCCTGCACCCGAATCTGCAAGCACCGGCTCTGAGCACCATTCGCTGCCGACACAAGGACACCATCCAAGAATTCCTCCTGGGAAACCTCCTGAGGATATGTGAAGGCCAGCGATGCTTTGGAAGAATGAAAAGTTTCTGCCAAGCAAAACCGAAGTAGATGGGAAGCCTGCGTGGATGTGAAGCCGCCTCACTGGGCGGCACAGAGCTCCTCTGCATGTGTCACCTCACTGGGACTCGCCGGTCAGTCTGACATCTTTGATGTCCCTGATTACAAAGAGACACATGTTCATCACACACATCAAAACACGGTGGAGATAGGTAACACAGGAAGTACAGGATTCCTGGAATACTTTTACCTGGAGATACCACAGGCTAGATAATTCATTTTTGAGACAGAGTCTTGCTCTGTTGCCCAGGCTGGAGTACAGTGGCGTGATCTAAGCTCACTGCAACCTGGGCCTCCCTAGTTCAAGCCATTCTCCCACCTCAGCCTCTCTAGTAGCTGGGATGACAGGCATCCACCACCATGCCCAGCTAATTTTTTGTCCTGCCAGCTAGAACTTTTTTTTTTTTTTGAGACACAGTCTCGCTCTGTTGCCCAGGCTAGAGTGCAGTGGCATGATCTCAGCTTACTGCAACCTCTGCCTCCTGGGTTCAAGGGATTCTCTTGCCTCAGCCTTCTAAGTAGCTGGAATTAAAGACACATGTCACCATGCCCAGCTAATTTTTGTATTTTTAGTAGAGATGGGGTTTCACCATGTTGGCCAGGATGGTCTTGAACTCCTGACCTCAGGTGATCCACCCACCTCGGCCTCCCAAAGTGCTGGGATTACAGGTGTGAGCCACCTCGCTTGGCCAGCTAGATCATTTTTATACACACATCCATCCATATCGATTCCGTTACGAGGTTGCTTCATGAAACACACTTAGGGAATTCCCTGCTTCCTACACCAGCATGATCAGGGGAGGAACACCTAACACTTGCACAGAGCTTCAATTCCTGCCCTGGAAGTCACAGGGGCATCACAGCTGAGCCTTTTCAAGGTTCTTCATCAAGAAACACAAAGTTGTCCTTTAATTATTTTCTTTTCTGAGATACGGACTCACTCTGTCACCCATGCTTGAGCGCAGTAGTGCCATCACAGCTCACTGCAGCCTTGACCTTCTGGGTTAAAGTGATCCTTCCACCCCAGCCTCCCGAGTAGCTGGGAGCACAGGTGCATGCCACCACGCCTGACTCATGTTTTTCCTCAGTCACCTCTGCTAGCCTGCGCGCCGTGTCCTTGTGCTGCTCCGCTGCCCCACTCCTCCTCTGGTCAGAATGGAAGAAGAAATCGCCGTGCTCGTCACTGACAATGGCTCCGGCATGTGCAAAGCTGGCTTTGCTGGGGATGACGCCCCCGACCCGAGCCGTGTTTCCCTCCGTCATCAGGCGCCCCAGCACCAGGGCAGCGTGGTCGGCATGGGCCAGAAGGACTCCTACATGGGAGACGAGGCCTGGAGCAAGTGCGGCATCCTGACCCTGAAGTATCCTATTGAGCACAGCATCGTCACCAACTGGGACGGCACAGAGAAGATCTGGCACCACACCTTCTACGTGTGGCCCCAGAGGAGCACTCTATGCTGCTGACCGAGGCCCCCCTGAACCCCAAGGCCAACAGAGATAACCCAGATCGTGTCTGAGCCCTTCGACACCCCAGTCATGTACATGGCTATCCAGGTCATGCTGTCCCTGTACGCCTCTGGGTGCACCACTGGCATTCTCATAGACTCCGGAGATGGGGTCACCCACATGGTGCCTATCTACGAGGGCTACACCATCCTGCATCTGGACCTGGCTGGTGGGGACCTGACTGACTGCCTCACAAAGATCCTCACGGAGTGGGGCGCTGCAGCTTCACCACCACGGCTGAGCGGGCGAAGCTGTGCTGCCTCGCCCTGGACTTTGAGCAGGAGATGGCCACGGCTGTGTCCTCCTCCCTGGAGACGAGCTGCAAGCTGCCCAATGGCCGGGTCATCACCATCGGCAACAGGTGGTTCCGGTGTCAGGCGCTGTTCCAGCCTTCCCTCCTGGGCGTGGAATCTTGTGCATCCATGAGACCACCTTCACCTCCATCGTGAAGTGTAATGTGGACATCCACTAAGACCCGTATGCCAACAAGGTGCTGTCAGGCGGCACCACCACGCACGTGGGCATCACTGACAGGACGCAGGAGGATTACCGCCCTGGTGCCCAGCACCGGGAAGGTCAAGATCATCGCGCATCCCCCCAGAGCACAAGTACTCGGTGTGGATCGGTGGCTCCATCCTGGCCTCGCTGTCCACCTTGCAGCAGATGTGGATTAGAAAGCAGGAGTACGAGTCGGGCCCCTCCATCCACCGCAAATGCTTCCAAATGGACTGCAAGCAGATGTGTAGCATTTGCTGCATGGGTTAACTCCCAAGTATAAATTTGTGCCTGGCAAATGCATATACCTCCTGCTAGCCTCACGGAACTGGAAGCTTTTGAAAAGAAATTGTCCTCGAAGCTTGTATCTGATATCAGTTCTGGATTGTAGAACTTGTTGCTAATTTTGACCTTGTGTTCAAGTTACCGGTTCCCCTGGGAATTTGTTTAATACAAATCTTTGATTCAACCCTTAGTTCATGTGGCTTGGTCAGTTTGTGGCTAAGAGCATGCTTGTGGCAGACAAGCCTATGGCTTGGTGACTTGCGTGACCAGCAGTCTTCAATCTGTGCAGGGTATCCGCGTGTCAGGGCTGAGTGTTCTGGGATTGCTCTAGAGGCTGGCAAGGGCTCCCAGTCTGTCAGGTTGGAAAATCCAAGTCATAAGATCTGGTTTCCTTTCCTAGCTGAATGTTTTCCTGCCTGAATGCCATGGGCTGTTACTTGCTTTGAGGTGAAAGCGGTTTGCATTTACAGCTGTAAAAGTTTTCATCCTTTTAAGGTTTTTCTGTATGCAACTCAATTCTTTAAAGAGATGACAACAAATTTTGGTTTTCTACTGTGAAGTGAGAAGTTAGGCCCCAGCAACACCTCATTGCTTAAAGAAAAATAAAAGTGCTGGCCGGGCGTGGTGGCTCAAGCCTGTAATCCCAGCACTTTGGGAGGCCGAGGCGGGTGGATCATGAGGTCGAGAGATTGAGACCATTCTGGTCAACATGGTGAAACCCCGTCTCTACTAAAAATACAAAAAATTAGCTGGGCATCGTGGCACGTGCCTGTAATCCCAGCTACTCAGGAGGCTGAGGCAGGAGAATTGCCTGAACCCAGGAGGCGGAGGTTGCGGTGAGCCGAGATTGCGCCATTGCACTCCAGCCTGGGTAACAAGAGCAAAACTCCGTCTCAAAAAAAAAAAAAAAAAGAAAAGAAAAGAAAGAAAAAGAAAAGTGCTGCTGTAACTGGAAAAAGAAAGAAAAAAAATTTTTTTTTTTTGGTAGAGGTGGTGGGGGGAGGGTATCTCCCTGTGCTGTCAAAGGTGGTTTCGAACTCCTGAACTCATGTGATCAGGTTCTCCTTTAGTACTGTCAGGGATTTCTTTTTTTTTTTTTTTTTTTTTTTTGAGACGGAGTTTCGCTCTTGTTACCCAGGCTGGAGTGCAATGGCGCAATCTCAGCTTACCGCAACCTCCGCCTCCTGGGTTCAGGCAATTCTCCTGCCTCAGCCTCCTGAGTAGCTGGGATTACAGGCGCGCGCCACCACGCCCAGCTAATTTTTTGTATTTTTAGTAGAGACGGGGTTTCACCATGTTGACCAGGATGGTCTCGATCTCTCGACCTCATGATCCACCCGCCTCGGCCTCCCAAAGTGCTGGGATTACAGGCTTGAGCCACCGTGCCCGGCCCTTCATTCCGTTTTATGGACAAATATCTCATTGTATGAATAGACTACGTTTCATTCATTGATGGACATTATGGGTTTTCAATTTGTGCCTGTAGGGACAATGATAAGCACATTTGTGTATATTTTTGTGTGGACCTGTTTCCAGTTCTCCTGGGTAGATACCTGTAAGAGGAATTGCTGGGTCACAGGGTAACTCTATGTTGAACATTAAGAACTCCCACAGTGTTTTCCAAAGTGGCTGCACCATTTTGCGTTGCCACCAAGAGTACGAGGGTTCCAGTTTCTCCACATTCTCACCAACACTTGTTCGGTCTTGTTAAATGCCATCCCAGCGGGTGTGAAGTGGTATCTCATAGTGGTCTTGATTTGTATTTTCCTGAAACTAATGATGTTGAGAGTCCTCAGTTATCCCTATTGGCCATTTTTCTCTCTTTCAATTAATTGCAGAAATTAAATCTTCTTTGGAAAACTGTTTATTCAGGTCCTCTGCCGATTTGTTAACTGGGCTGTCTTTTCATTGTTACAAGAATTCTGGGGGAGGCATGGTGGCTCACTGCTATAATTCCAGCACTTTGGGAGGCCAGGGCAGGTGGATCATGAGGTCAGGAGTTGAAGACCAGCCTGGCCAACATGGTGAAACCCCATCTCTACTAAAAATACAAAATTAGTTTGTTTGGTGGCACATGCCTGTAATCCCAGCTACTCAGGAGGCTGAGGCATGAGAATGAGGCGGAGGCTGCAGTGAGCAGGCACCACTGCAGTCCAGCCTGAGAGTCATCTAGAATCCATCTCAAACAAACAAAAAAAGGAAAACCAAAAAACAAAAACTATGTTCTGAATACAAGTTCCTTATCAGGTATATGATTTGCAAATAGTTTCTCTATTCTGTGGGTTGTCTTTTCATCTTTTTTTAAATCCCTCTTTTTATTTTGTTTAGTTATTTTCTTTTTCTTTTTTTTTTTTTTTTTGAGACGGAGTTTCGCCCTTGTTACCCAGGCTGGAGTGCAATGGCGCGATCTCGGCTCACCGCAACCTCCGCCTCCTGGGCTCAGGCAATTCTCCTGCCTCAGCCTCCTGAGTAGCTGGGATTACAGGCACGTGCCACCATGCCCAGCTAATTTTTTGCACTTTTAGTAGAGACGGGGTTTCACCATGTTGACCAGGATGGTCTCGATCTCTCGACCTCGTGATCCACCCGCCTCGGCCTCCCAAAGTGCTGGGATTACACGCTTGAGCCACCGCGCCCGGCCATTTTTTTTTTTTTTTTTTTAGATGGAGTCTTACTCAACTGCCCAGGCTGGAATACGATGGTTCGATCTTAGCTCACTGCAACCTCTGCCTCCTGAGCTCAAGCAATTGTCCCTGTCTCAGCCTCCCGAGTAGCTGGGATTACAGGCGCCCCCTGCCCTACACCCAGCTAA